ATGAAGAATGGATTCAAAAAAGCAAAAATGGGAACCACAAAGATGTGTGATAAAGGGCTGTGGTCATCATAGAGCCCTGAGAGCACAGCCTCCATCTCCCAGTTACTCACCCTTACTAAGCAAGGCAGTGAGGGTATGGCAAAGCCTCTGTGGTCCAACTAGAGATCAGAAAGGTAAAACAAACCAAAACCTATGTGTCAGCACAGAACCCTTTGCTGTTCTCAGTTTGAAAACTTGAAACTAGTGTGTCTTAAATGAGAAGCATTATTGCACAACATCCCTGTTCTGTACTCCCAAGATCTGGGGCTGACCAGCCAGTCACCCTGAGCTGCCTTCTCTCCCTGCAAGAATCTCTACCTCTTTCCAGTCACTTCATTTCTCCAGGGATGTGCTGGGCTTCTTGTTCTTTTCTCCTCCACTTCCTGGGCTTAGCCAAAGCCCAGCCACCACATGAAGTCCCCCATGCAGGGACTCTTCACCAGAAAGCTCTCAGTTGGCACCTGGCAGCTGACATTAAACACAGATGCCTGTATTCAAAAGATGTGAATGAAGCTGCTGGGCTGTGGGCCTTGGAGAGGTGTCTGGGTATGCCCTGGAAGCTGGGAATGGTAAGAAAATATTCCTTCTGCCCTGCAGCCATCTGAGGGAGCACAGGTTTTGTGACACTTTGACTTTAGCACAATGATATCTATTATTTCAGTTTCTTACCTCCAAAACTATAAAATACCCCATTCATCTTGTTTGGAGCCATTAGGTTGTGACAGTTTGTTCTAGCAGTAATGGGGAGCTGGTAGACCCACCATTGTTGGGCTACAGCCTCCTCCAGTTTAGGGGCCAGGTCTTCCTTGCCTTTTAGTTGTTGGCATTAGTATTGGAACACAGGCACTTTTACTTTTGAGCAGAGTACCTAAGAGAGTATCCTTCGTTTTGTGCTCACACAAAAGCTGGGATATGATGATGTCACTAGATTAAGATTGGCTTTCTTGGAATATTCCAAGATTTAAGAGCCAAAAAACTGGAATTCTGATGAAAAATAACTCACTCCTTTTTGTGCAGTGAAGTTCTCATCCATCACTGGAACATTCACAAACTTAATCCAGTCCACACCAGCACTGTGCAGACTATTAAGTGTGGTTTTATGATTTGGGACTGAAATGGAAGTTTCACAAGATGCCTCAGAGATTCTAGAATTAAATCTGAATGAAACAAAATCCCCAAAGCTGTGAGAATAGTCTGGATGGTCATCAGCTCTATAGCATGCTGGAAGCCAGGAAGATGAACATAGACAAACTTGGAACAAGTGAGAGAGAAGAGGTTATAGAGTTTAGAATAGCACACATGTGTGTGCATGTGCGCACACACACACACATTCACACTGCTATTTTAGTCTACCTGAGGCTAGTAGCTATTTAATAGATGGCCCATGATCCATAGCCATGCAGACTTCTGCCTTTTGCCTAACTCTACGTTCCTATAAAGCAGGTTTGGATTTCAGAGGCTACATGGCAATAATGATAGTCCACTCATACTTCTCATTCAAATCTAGTGTCAGTGCACTCAGATAGTTCACTAAAATCTCTAGTCCTGTAATCTAAATTTAAAAACTTACAATCTGGTAAAAATTGAAAAGCTTTTAAATTTTAAAGTGTGGTATATAGAACTTCACATCTGATTTTTAACATCTTTCGTGTATCTTTAAAGAATTTTTTATTTATTTTGAGAATTGTATGCACTATATTTTGATCATATTCTTTCCTCCTCTCAATTCCTCCCAGAGACATTCTCATTTTCCTGCCCTTCCCTGCAACATACAACTTGTGTCCCTTTTCTTCTTAATAGCATAATTATTTTTAAGGAAAACTTTATAGTGCGTGACTGATAAGCATAAAGCCTTATATTATGCTATAAACATTTGGGATTAAAGAGACTAGATAGCTTACAGTTAAGACCCAACAGGAGCCAGGAGTCTGCTGATGAACAAATTATCTATATTTTAAGCTGAATCAGAAGTAAACATTGAACCACTGTGTTAGCTAAGCAGGTAGAGGACTTGCCTACCTGAGTTTGATCCCCGAAACCCTCCCATGTTGTCGTCTGATCCACATATATGTGTTATAGTGCACATACACATGTGCACACACACACATAAGTTGATTGATTGATTGATTGATTGATTGATTGATTGAAAAATGTTAAAGTAAATATTTCCCAGTGTCCCTTCAAGTCTGCATTAATCCATAGGCTAAGAGCCACGTGTGCCCTCATAGCCTTTTTTACAGTCCATGAGCTCACTTTAAAGGAATAGATTTCTTCTATTCTTGAACCATCTCCAAATCTCAGTCCCTGAATACTTGTTGATTTTCCTCAGCCAACACTTTTATTTCCTCAGGAGAATATTCACTAAAGACTAAAGTTGTGTTGTTTCATTAGTTGTCAGATCAGCCCTTGCCCCGGTAATGGTGAGGGAGAAGCAGCACTGAACTGATGACCTTTCCTTTAACGTTTTTGTTTGGGTTCTATTTTGTTTTGTTTGTTTAACTGGTTGGTTTTTTGCATTTATTCTTAATAAGAAAAAATAATGAATTTATGCCACTTTGTAATTGCTAAGAAAAAATTTTTAGCAGTATTTTTAGCAATGAAGCTGTACTCCTAAGTGTCTGATTTACAATATGCTAATAATCTGCTGAAAGTAGCAGGCACAGTAAGGGAAAATCAGCATTCAGATTCATAGATAGAAAACTCTTGTCTCCAGAGTCATGCATCCTCCGAGTTCTGAAAACAGGCAGTCAATTGTATTCAAACCTGGGCCTCTTTTTGGAACCTATATAATAACTGTAGACAAATTAATATCTTTCATGTCTGTAGTTAAGGTCTGACCCCTAATTCTTTTGACTTTGATGACATTAAGGGCCAACTGATACTCACTAACAAGTTTTATCAAAAGTGCTCTAAATGTGGCTATCATCAAGTCCTTCTTAAAATTTGAATCTTTACTAGGTAGCGTACTACAAAATATCTCCTTATAGTGACACAAAACTGTATTATGTTCAACAATATTCAGTTAGTTGCAAATTCTGTCTTAAGAAAAGGCAGAGAAAAAATACGAAATCATGTCCTGTTCTGTGTGGATGTTTTGGTCCTTGGGCAGAGCATATGTAATAAGGCCTGCATCATGCCCCTGCCTCTGCTACTTGAGAAGTTCACCTGCTTTAAGTTGTAGTTCTTTTTTTTTTTTGGTTTTTCGAGACAGGGTTTCTCTGTGTAGCCCTGGCTGTCCTGGAACTCACTCTGTAGACCAGGCTGGCCTCGAACTCAGAAATCCGCCTGCCTCTGCCTCCCAAGTGCTGGGATTAAAGGCGTGCGCCACCACCACCCGGCTAAGTTGTGGTTCTTACATTGTGCATGAGAGTTGTATCTTCCCTACAGCTGTGAGAAGACTTCACATGAGGTAATGTGTTCCATGAGAAGAGTACAAGGAATATGGGGATGTATCGTGGTTTGTAGATGTGCTGTAAGCAACACCTAAGGCATAAATGCTGACTAGGGTCATCAGTAAAACTCTACTTCAGTGCAACTACCAAGTTAAAGCCAATCAAATGATCCTTACAGACAAGAAATTCACTAGCCAGCCCTCCCAGTTCTTACCTAATTAGTGATATCTTCTGAATGTTTCGGGGCAAGATAATGAGATAACCATAGATCGGTAGTGCCTCTCTCCCTTCTACATTCCAGCTTGAAGGGATGACAGCTGATAAAGGAAAGCCTGTTATGTTAAGAGCTTGGGAAGGATGTCATTGCATGGTAGTGGGGTAGCATGGGCACTTCTGCTGAGCTGTACAGATGATAGCATATGAAGGAAAGACATTGAGCAGAGCCTTACAACTTCCCAGAGAAAAAGCCAAGTCTCATGAAAAAAGCAGAAACTGACCCACTTGGAACAGCACCAAGGAACATGAGGGTGTGTCTCTGCTGTAGCTAGAACTCCTGTCTATCACGCCTCCAAAATTTCCATCTTCTCAGAGCCAGTAAAGGAAAAGTAAGAATTCGTTCCAAGCATAGTAACAAAAGTGGCCCTCTGCAGGCTGCTAGCTCTGAGTGTGACATGTACTGAACAACTAGGGAAATAAAATGTACAGTTTAAGCTTAGGTTTAGACACCTTGTGCCAGAGTAAATAAGGAAGGGCCCCATCAAGCACACTAGCAATGAGCTAAGCAGGGGTGTTTCCTCAAAGAGTAATCTTTGTTGTTTCTTCCTGGAAGCCAGGGATGCAGTGATGAATGAGTACTTGGAAGTGGTATCTGCTTTAACTGCGTGCTCTTGGTCCTACATGCTTTGTATGCCTTAGTCCAGGAATGAGGTCCATTTAGCAAGACCTTGCTGGCTCACTGTTGACTGAAAATTCATTTACCACTGAACTGCCTCTTCTGTTTCATCAGTAAGCATACCTCAGTGACTGAATCTGACTGGAGACATGGCCTCCACAGTGTATCCACTAATACTGTTTTAATCTAGAACAGTACCTACAAAAGCAGTTGAAGCATCTCGCCTCAGTTTGCGGATACATTGTGGGCATTTAAGGTCTATGTTTTCCTTGTAGCCTCTTCCCTTGAGAAGGTCCCCTCTGAAGAACCAGAGAGGAGAACTACAGTGTTTGGATCTCCAAGTCCACAGAGCTCTATGCAGCTTGTCCAGATGTAGGCACTAGAGATAGTGGAGTATCCTGGGCTGCCAAGTGAGAGAGGGCAGTACTGGCCTTGGCATCAACTGCATGGTGCTCAGTTACCACTCCTGGACAAGCTGATGCTCCAGGGGGAGGGAAGGAAGCTACAGTGCACTTAGTGGGGAGGATTACATCTGTTCCTGGAGGTCTCTTGTTACCTTATTACACAACTCAGAGGGTTTGCTTTTAATGGTCTGCTTGTCATGTTCCATTTAACCTATAAAAGTCCTAACATCCTTTAACTAGATTTCTCTCAAAGAGTTGTGTTTTCTTTCTCAGGTCCTACAGCATATTTGACAATAATCACCAGGATCCCACAGGGCTGACGGCTGCTCTTCAGGCCACAGACTTAGCCGGAGTTTTGCACATGCTCTACTGTATCCTCTTCCACGGCACCGTCTCAGATGCTAGCACTAGTCCCAAGGAGAGTTACACCCAGAACACCATCCAAGTAGCCATTCAGAGTTTACGTTTCTTCAACAGCTTTGCAGTTCTTAATTTGTCTGCTTTTCAGGTACTTAAAAAACCTTGGTTCAGGTTGGTTTTAAAACCAACAAAAAGTTAGCATGTTTGTGTGTGTGTGTACACGTTTCCTTGTGTGTGAGTGTGGAGGCTAGAGGTGGATGCTGGGTATTCTCCTCTATTACTCTCCATCTTCCCCTGCATTCCTCTCTCCAGTTGGGGTCTCACTATGTAGTCTTGGTTGGGACTCCTACAAAGACCAGTTGGCCTTGCACTTACAGAGCTCTACCTGCCTCTGCCTCTGGAGTCCTGGGATTAAAGGTGTGTACCACAACGCCTGGCTCACTGAACCTGGAGACTTGCTGGCAGGCAAGCCCCCAACATCTACCTGTCTCCTGCACTCTCAGCACTAGGGCTAAGGCACTCATTCATTAGCATGCCAGGCTTCTTATACAGGTGCTGGAAAGTGAAGATTAGGTCCACATTCCTGCACACCAATTACTTTATTCACTGAGATATCTCCCCAGAATCACCCCTCCCCATTCACCTTTTTAAGAACTTTTTTTAAGATTTATTTCCATTTGTATGTTTTCCCTTCATGTATGTGTGCTTGGTGCCAGCAGAAGCCAGAAGAGGATGTCAGATCCCCTCTGAAATTGGAGTTCTAGACAGTTATTAGCCATCATATGGGTACAAAGAATTAAGCCTGGGTCCTCTAGAAGTACAACTAGTGTTTCCAACTGCTGATCCATCTCTCGAGTTTCCAAAAAGTTAATCTTTTAATGTGAATATAATGGGAAGTTCTTCTCTGGAATTTGAGATCCCAGATTACAATAAGTAGAATTATAAAGTGTATATAGCATTCGTTAAGCTCTTTTGTAGAGTTATATGATTTCTGGTCACATTAAATGTTAAATGTGCTTTCTCATTTATTCTCATAGCTGTTATGAAAAATGTTATTGTACCCATTTTACAGATGGAAAAACTGGCAAATAAATAATTTGCCTAAAGTCCTATTTAGCTGAAACAAAACTAGTTACCCATGACTCTCCAGTCCTTAAATTTAACCTATACCACACTGCCACTTATAAATCTTCTGTCTTAAATTCTTCAGATAAAGGTATTATCATCCCATCAATGTTTAAATATTAATAAAATTAATGGTTTCTTATAGAAATAGAACCAAAATTGCTTAATTATTTTGATTGATATAACTCTAAAGAGGATTTAACTGATTTGTGTCCAAAGTAAAGTACATTTATATATAACTGTACAAACCCCTATAATTTAAGTTTTTATAGCTAAAGAAAGAAAATGGCTTTTTGCTATATAATACCACACTGTCAGCTTAAAGACAGACTTTTTTCAAGCAGGAAATTTAATTTTCAAAAACACTGAACCTGTTATCGAGCAAGCCCCAAGGAATCGACTTTCCCTGTCCGCTTATTAACTGTAGAGTGATTTCATTTAAAAAAGGAACAAACTTGGCAGATGATGAACCCATAATTTAGATGAATTACTTACTAAGAGGAAAGGGGCTTCAGAGGTGTGTTGTGTGGAGACAGTGGTCTCTGCTATCAGAAAGACTTCTGTTGTGAAGCTGATGGCACACGTTCAGTTAATGAACGGCTTCCTAGGATTCTGTTCATAAAGGAAGTTAGTGAGTGGTGTCATTGCAGCTTGTATTTTTCAACTTTGTAGAGTCACTTTATCCATCACAAGAACAGAAGTCCCTCCTGGAGGATTAATGTGTTTCTGTTTCTAAAGTAGTTGAAGTAGGCTTTGCCATTCTCTGCAGTCTGCACAATTGGAGTAGTTTACAGGCACACCTAATGAGAGAGGTGTCTGCTCCAGAAGATGTCAGTGAGTCTTACTTCTGGTTGCATATGACATTTATTTGTTTATCAGAGGACCTCAGAATATAGAGTTCAGTAGTCTTCCCATCAAATAAAATGATTTCCTTGTTACCATAGATTACGAAAAAGTGCATACCTAAACCAGTTATTTTATGCATTTAAAAGCAAATACTTAAACTTAATAGAGTAAGTAATAGCAGTGTGATCAGTGTTATTGTGATCTCAGGCTCTAAGAGTTCAGAAATCCTATAGGGCTCTTCATGTCTCATGAGGATGGCTTGGCTCCATGGCATGATCATAAGACTTCAGCCAAGAAACTCGCACGGCTAAAGGAAAAGGAAGGGTAAGTGTGCCTTGTAGAAGTAGGAACTGCAGTTATCCAGAGGCTCCTCACTCATGGTTGATGCCTGGGATACCTCGAAGACTATGTCTGTGTAGGGCCATCATCCAGAGTACCTGTATACAGCCTACCTGTATAATTCAGGCTTCTCAAATGATTATGATGTCAGAGTCCTGAGGGGGAAGGTCCTAAGAGGAAGCTTCTGGAAAGCAAGTGTTCTAAAAGAACCAGACGGCAGCTGCATGGCTTTTTATGATCTAGTTTCAGAAGTCATATACCTCTATATACCTTAGTACTTGGAAACTGAGGCAAGAGGACTACAACAAATTGAGGACAACCTGTATCACACTTGTTAAGCCCTGTCTCAAAGATAACGTTAAGGGGACTCAGTAGTTAGAATTGCTGGCTGCTCCTGTAGAGGACTCAAGCTTAATTCATGCACCCACATGAAGTTGACAGACATATGCAAGTTCAGTTCCAGGAGATCACATGGCCTCTTCTGATCTCTGTGGGCACCAGGCATGCATTTGGTACACATATGTACATGCATTGCAAGTACTCGTGTATACGCATACATTAATATATCTTTTTAAAATAATAATAGTAATTTTTAAAGCCTAATGCAGTTGGAAAGAAGGAAGGGAGGGGAAAGAAAAGAAGGAAGAGGAGGAAGCAAGAAGATAGGAGGAGTTCAAGGCCTCAGTTACATAATGAGCTAGGGGCTAGCCAAGACTACATGAGACCCTGTCTCAAAAACATAGCAACAATAGAAAGAACACACACACACACACTCTAGTTGAATCACTCATAAGCCTCCCAGATTGAGAGACATGGGTAAGATAATTGTCAAATACTTGAGAGGGCATTTATGAACTGCACCACTGTTTAACAAGTTCATGACACATCTGTCATACAGACACCACTGATGAGTAAACATGGAATATTCAAATGAATATGCAAATGTTAACACTGTATAACAGTGAGTGAGTTTGGGAAGAAAATACTATTTTCATGATAGATATGATCAGAAAAACTCATGTTGTAGCTCATAGAAACAACCCCATGTCAAAGGTAAGATTTCATGAGGAGTGAAAGAAAATGTACATCTCAGCGTGGACCTGACTTGAGAAAACGTGGAGGTGACCATGACAGGCTAGAAGGAGCTAAAGAACAAAACTGAGCTGAGGCAGGTGCCTGAGCTCCTAATAAGAATGAGACAAAGTGACATGGTGAGCATGTTGTTTCCCCTCATACCTCCAGGTATCACAGGAATTCAAAGTGCCACAGACTCAGGCTCATCAGACCCATGAGCTTAGAGTTGGCCTGAGCCCACTAAACAGTCTCACCATAAAGTGTATGGCCTTGGACAAGCCATCTGAGCATTTTTAAGATCCAGTACCTTCATCTAAAGCAAATTAGAAACATCTACCTCACAAAACAGAAGATTACATGGAAGATTACATGATGGTCAGCATGTACTCGGCCCCAGACACGTGAACTGACACCCTCTAGTCTCTGAGTCTGGGCCCACCCTTGGTAACCCACTTACTGGGCATTTCTGTGGATGCTTTTAAAGAGTTCCTTTCTGTATGTGTAAAGTTAAAGCGTTTGCTCAGTGTCCTGGGAGATGCTGAATCAGAAAGTGCTGAGTGTGGCATTCATGTTTGTCTGCTTTCCTTCAGAGCCACACATCTGTGTGCTTGTCTTGTGTGAAAATGTATCATGTGATAACAACAAAAGGGTTATCCGTGAGAACATTTTCATCATGTACCAGTAAGGCTGTTAAAGTATCTCCCCCTCAGCAAGGATGTGAATTCACTCTAAAATCATATCGGCACAAGTGGCCTGGAGGTCATTGATACTGTATATTGCATTTGCCATGACAGCTTTTAACAATTGAAGGTGGTCTCAAGAAACAAATCAATGTACTGACTTGGCAATTAATTCTGGCTAGAAAGGAAATATAGTTTCCTTGAAAAATTGGTTTGATTTTTATATTCAAACATACATGCCCCATGACCTGCTCTTATCAGGAAAGGTTAAACAGAGGGCAGTAGGTCACAGCATGCTGGACGAGACTAATTAAATAAGGGCTGAACGGAGAAAGTGTCAAGACTTGATTTAAAGGAGCAAAGCCCTCCTGAAGTGTCTGGGGCTTGAAAACTACTTGGGGCAGGGGTTGTCTTGTGGCAATAGAACCGCAACAGAAGACACTCTTTAAGTCAGCAGTCATAGCATTATAGCAGTGCCCACCTGCAGGACTGTTTCACTCGATTTAGACAGTGAAGTAACTGAAATTTCCAAGCTACAGTCATCTGACCTGGTTTCAAACCCAGTAAGACCTCAAATAAAGAAATGAGTTTAAAACAGTGCGTTTCCCACAGGCCAGCAGCAGTGCTTCATTCCAGTGTGGGCTGCAAGTGTATTCTGTGGGCTTCGCCTCTCCCCTTTGCCCTCCTGTCGCTCTGTCTGCTTGACATGTTTATTAAATAGAAGCTTCAGGCTGCACAGGCAGACTCAGATTCTCCTCCCAAGTTGCCCACCACTGACAGCCCATAGCCTGTCTGGAGAAAAGATCCCAGAAGCCTCATAGCTGAAGGGCTCCTAGTTTGGGGAAAGATTTTTTTGTTTTGTTTTGTTTTTTCACATTCTTTTGGTAGCCTTTGTTTTAGAGCACTATTTATTTGAATAATAATTACTTCTTATTTAGATTTCTTTTCTGTTTGAACATAAGTAAATAATTAGAAGTGGCTATTTATCTCTCTGTATAAAGGTGGGGAACAAAGCCAGTGACGGAGAATCTTTCTGTTATGTACAAGGCCCTGATACAATCCCCAGAGCCTACAATACACTAAAGTGTCTTTGCTATGTACAAGAAAGTAGTTTTATCCTTCAGAAAAATAGTGTTAGAAATTAGCTTACACAGTATATTCACAGATGAAATTTAATATTTATGCTTCTACATATTTTCTACAATAAGAATCCTTGTCTAATGAGAAAATGTAAGTTACTAGGCATGGGGTAAATAGCTGCTTTGGTGGAGTGTATGTTGGATACGTGTGTTGTGGGCATTTACTCTGCTCTAGTTTCTGTCCATTAGGTTAAATGTTACATTGGTTTCTATCGTTTATTAGACTAAGAACCCTTGAACTAACTGCTGCCCAGAGTATAATAGTCAGGTTCATGATATTTTTGTAGATTTTTTTTTTTGTCTCATATTGCTTCATTTGGGCTTTTTTTTTTCCTTATTGGTCTTTTGTTTGTATATTTTGGTTTCCATTTAGGGAGTTATATGTATTTCTTGTTTTTGTTTTTAAAAGAAAGAAAGGCTGGGGACAAGGGTAGGAAGATTCTAGGAGAGTTTCAAAAGGGTAAAAGGATACAGTATATGAAAAATCCAATAAAATTATATAGAAACTTGAAAAATAAATTAAGCTCCAGGTTTATGCAAATTTCTTTACAAACATTTGACAGCTAGGTTATTTGAAAGTTAAGAACCTCTGTAGCTTGTACCACTAGTCCCTTTTCTCCATTTTTCTAAGAATAGGAACTCTGTTATTGAATGCATGCTACTTATAAGTGCTAGAAGGAAGGAAGGAAGGAAGGAAGGAAGGAAGGAAGAAAAAAGGAGTATAACGTCCCTCTAGCCACATAACAGAGAGTGTGCAGAGCCTGGACTTACTGTATAATGTACAGCCCCAGCTCTCCCTGGGCTGGGAGTTCTAACTGCTCCTTGTCTGTCAGTCTATTGTAGGGGCAGAGGGTTTGTCCCTTGCATTCCGGCACATGGCTAGCTCCTTGCTGGGCCACTGCAGCCAAGTCTCCTGTGAAAGCCTCCTCCATGAGGTCATCGTCTGTGTGGGCTACTTCACTGTCAACCACCCAGATAACCAGGTAAGAGCCTCTGGAAGGTACCTCAGATTACTGCCAGCACTGAGGGTGTGAGGTATTGGAGTGAGAAAAGACAGGCTAGCCTGCTGGAACCCATCTGTCCTGTATGAAGCCCTTTAAACAGGCTCCCAGGATAGGTTTCTGGCTTTATCTCTAAAAGGATATTTGACCTACACCAGATAGCACAAGGACCTCCTCTTAAAGCTATAAAGGTAAGATATTTTAGTAAAATATTTTTAAAGTACATGGAATCATCCATTCCCTCCTATACAGTCAGCTTCAACCCCCATACTGTATGGATGCCAATATTCTTGCTGTGATAAGGAAGCATCTACATCTCTTGGCTCAGACCACTTAGCAAACATATAAAGCTGAGCTTGGCCCTCCTCTGTCTAGGTGTTCAGGGGCTTCCAGATAGTTTGGGGCAGAAGCTAAGAAGGCAAGATTCTGGCTTCTCCTGCTTGAGAGACAGGCATAATTCTGTTCATGGCTACTTTATTTGGTTTCTGAGTAGGGCTTCTTCTGTGAATGCATTCTCCTTTTGTTATGAATTGGAAGATGATAACGAGGTACCTTCTTTCTCTTTTCACTTTATTTTTTAAATAAATCATGGCACAACTAACACATTAAACTAATTCTTAACTACCTCATTTATATAGTTTTATCTAGACAGAAGGTTGATTGTATAGATTATAGCTGAGAAAAATATCTAAACATTCCACTAACTTTTACTCTAAGCTCGCTGATTTTTAAGCAAATCTAAAATAAATGTGACTATGAGACTTTTCAGCCTAGAGCACACTAGAGGAAGACAGGAGGAGAGATGAGTGTGCTGTCATAGCCAAGTACAAGGCAAAAGCTGCACACCGAGAGCTGCCAGTACATGTCTAATGAGAAGGAAAGGGTAAGAGAGAACACGACAGGCCCAGAAGACCAGAATCACAGACTTGTAGGTTCATAGAAACATTTAACCCTTAGTAAACATGGGAGCAAAGTGGGTCTTAGGTGCATTCTCTATAAGAAGGGTAAGGAATGGACAATCCATTTTATAAAAAATCTTGTGGTTAAAATGTAGATCTAGGTGCTTAGAAGAACAATATATATAATTTTTTTCCTATTCCCAAACCCTGTTGCCAGGAGGCAGTTGTTTGTTGCCTCTTACTGTGGAAATGCTCAGGAAACTCCTTCCCTTGAAAACAGCCAGATTTTTGTCCTCTCTAAGGACCAGACCCATAAATTGATAGCATTTCTAAAAACTACTCCAGAAATGATTGGTGAGGGGACTCTCCTTTGTGGCTTTCTTTCCTTTGTATCAGTCTACTGAATGATTTTTATCTCACTTTAAAGTTTCTTCTCTTGGTCATGACCACAAAGTATTCCCTATTTGTTATGAAAAGGACATGGCAAATATAAAGAATAAATAGGAAGCCCCATTGTTTCTGATCTCAGATTCTGAAATAGTCACTAACAGGTTTCCTTCTAGAGTCATCTTAGTGAACAGTTTTATATAGCTGAAGTCATATTGCACGTGTATTTATGTCCTCCTTTCTGCACTTCATCTTATACAGAATATCATTTTTAATGGCTTTACTGTGTGTGGACATTCATAGTTTACCTAACAATTTCCTGTTTTATATGTAAGTGGTTTATGCTATATATCATGACACTGCTGCACTTGTGAAGAGCTGAGCAGTTTGTGGATGTGCCGTTTAGCAGTTCCGCACTGAGTGAGTGTGCAGTTCCACACTGAGTGAGTGTGCAGTTCCACACTGAGTGAGTGTGCAGTTCCACACTGAGTGAGTGTGCAGTTCCGCACCAAGAGGCTTCATTCTTACAGTACATCTCATGCTGCTCTACTTTGAAACTTTTGGTATAAATCAACTCTTAAGTTTGTAGAATTCAGACTTCTGTGGGGTTTCTGAGTTTTTCTACTGATGCTAGCTCACACAGTTATCCTCCACTGTAACATCTCATACTTTAGTTGATCTCACCAGAGTGAACAGAGACTGGAGCAGGGAAACATATACTCGAATGGATAAGGAAAAAGCAGCTGAAACAGAGTGAGCATGGGGTAGGAGTGGGAGAGAGGAGGGGTTAGGAGTCGAGAAGTAGAGAAGGAAGAGAGAGTGGCAGTAACCACTGCCCCATCAGGCTTGAGCTGGAAGAAAAGGATGCAGTACGCTTTGGAGGTCACTGTTGAGAGATGATGTCACTCAGAGAACAAAATTAGAAGAGTGGAAAATGTCAGACCTTGTGTCTTGGTACCTTGCCCCCAACAGGGACAAAGTGCTAAGCTGATCATCTACTGAATCCGAGAAGCCAGTTCAACTCTGAGACAGTTGAAATGCAACACAACTTTATGAGGAGAAACCAGAATATGTTAAATTACAAAAGAAATTAAAAACCGATAGAAAGGATTGTAAGAAGACTCTAAAAAGCAAAGATTTGTAGCAATGCAATTTCTAAGCATCACCTTGTTGTGTGGAGATCTTGCCACTGTTGCACCCAGGTGTTGTCTCTAAGAGACAAGGTAAGCCTTCTGAAACAAAGAAAGCACTGGGAGACTTAAGTCAGGTGTGTAACAGACTTATCCACTGGTAGTCACTTACATATATCTTGGACAGCAGTCCTGGCTCTCCGAATACCAACATGGGGTTTCTGGGCATAATGTGTGTATCCCACTCTGGGAGACCCATAAAGATTCTAGGAAGTTATAAATAAGCCCAGACCACAATTTAGCAAGTAGAGGGCCTGGGGTTTTAGCTCAGTTCTGCTTCTGCCCTACCTATGTGATCTTAGATGAATCCTCCCCTTCAGGTTCATGGATCTGTGACTGCTGAAAAGTAGTTCTGGAGAGCAGTGTCATTTACACCATTTGTATTTGTATCTCTGTGCGTGCGTGTGTGTGTGTGTGTGTGTGTGTGTACGCACGCGAGTGCATGCATGTGTATATATGTGTCAGTGTATGTCTGTGTATGTTCTCCTGTATGTTTATGTGTTTTCATATGTATGTGTTCCTGTGTGTGTGCCTGTAATACTGCTAAACTGTAAGGCTAAAATGTTTCAGCTGCTAAATTATATATTATGCATATTTCATATGATTAAAAAAAGATTGTACTGAGATATGCCTTCAGCCTGGGATATTAAAAGTCTGAAACTAGAACCATAGACAGACCAGCATCTGATCTCAGGGGGATTCTATACCTGAATTTGTGGTTTTTAGATCTACCTTACTCTCCTGGATCCTGTCAGCAGCAGACAGTGTAATAAGCTGCCTGCCCACTTTGCGGCAGCTTGTAATTTAAAGCTGACTATCTCTCGGCTTCCCCAGTATGAGCTGAGGAGGACAAGAGCCATTGGCAAACGGCAAACACAGCCGACTTCTTATAGGTGACGTGGGAAGCTTTGCTGTGCCATGCCATCACCAGCCACAGTTGTTTTATCTGCTGTGTCACCTAGCCCAAGTGGAGACCTGTGCCAGGATCTGTGGGTTAGGCTACATAGAGAAAAGCATAAGGCAGACAGCCACAAGTTACTGAGGTGACAACTATTTGTATCCAGTGGAATTGAGGACTTTTCTACTGTTAAAAGGGTGTGTATTTGCTTTTTTTTTTTTTAAGGAACTTGTTAGTTCCCTGTCCCACAAAACCACAAATTTGCTAAGTGAACATTTGCTACAGAGATCCAGTAAGAACAGCTATAAGGTCTTACTCGCAGGTCCGTGTCTGTGGATCATTTATCCTAGAAGGTCTTTTGGGCAGCCCCACCTCATAGGCAGGCTCAGTGGTAGTGACCCTTCTCACACACTCTTCCTCTCAGGGAATCAGTTCAGCCTGGTGGGAGAAATGGTGATTCTTAGTGCAGCTAAGTTTCGTGTTCATGTTCATTGCAGGGCATGGTTTTCCAGAGAGGATCCTTCATCTCCTCCTGGGGAAACAGCATGTTTCTCTACAAGACAGAGGTCCTGAAAATCTTGCTGCAGCCTAAGTCTGTTTGATTAGGTGACTGCTTTGCATAAAAGATTGGCCTTTTTTTTTTACTTGCTGCCACTTAGTCAATTAACTAGAAGGGCTGAGTCCCATGATACTACAGATCACTTGAGAAGAGTAAGCCAGATAATAAAAAGTAATGCCCTCTCCGTGATGGACCCAGTCATCTGTTTCCTATAGGTTTACAGTAGCTAATTAAAACGATGTTTTAATCAAAAGCTTCTCTGTATTTTACATTTTTATGACTTTCTAAATTCTTACCCATTTAATTATTATGATGAACATAATTAATACGTGCTGTCAGCTCCTTGCTTTATTTACATTGTATTGGATAATTAAATTTGTTCTGATAATTAAATTAACTCAAATGAAAGATTGTATGACTGCCTGAATAGTACTGTCCTGGGAATAAGCACCTTTGCATAGTCATTTTGATTAGCGAATGCCTCTCTCATTAGGCAAGGCCTTAGAGTCCAGGTACCTCAGTTTCCGTCTTAGGCTATCTGAAAGCAAAGATCACTTTGGCCCACCTGTCCCATCCAGCCTTTCTGTCGTACGAGGAAGAAAGATCAGAGCCTTATACTTTATCAACTCAGGACTTAATTTTTTTGCTCAAGAAATTGTCTCATGATCCAGAATGGGTAAGTATATAAAATAGAAATCAAATATTTACTAATAATAAATCATAAAAAAATTATTTTAAAACAATCTTTGGACAATATAGGTTTACTGTTTACTAAAAACAGAAGCAAATGTGGTACTAGTTAGATGGGTATGCCTATTTATTTTATATAAATAATTAAATATTGGCTGACTTTGATACTGCAGTTCCTAGAGCATCCCCAGCAGTTTGCAGAGTTGACTGATACTTACAGACGTCAGTATTAAGACCATCACTTCATACACATATATAGTGCAAAATGGCAAAAGTATGATTAGTGAGAGGTGTGGCTTCCGCAGGGAAGAAAACACCAACTGGCTGTTCAGTACAAGGCCAACTCTTAAAACATACAT